GTCTCTCTCTCTCTCTCTCTCTCTCTCTCTCTCTCTCTCTCTCTCTCTCTGTATTTATGCGTGCACCTGTTACCCACTACCTTTAGAAGTTAAAAGGTACCCTTTCTGCACGCTGACTCACAAGAAGGAATGAAAGATTTGTTTCATTTCGCCGAGGTTGCTCTTTGTAAAATTCACGGACAAGGCAGTGATGTGTTAAGCACTAGGCCCGAGATGGCGTAGGTTAAGCAGGTACACTCGGTATTGCCTGTTGTAAAACAGGCCCCGCCCCCGCCCCTTTCTGTCCTTGCGCGAATCATCTAATCTCGTGTGCGACTGCACACTACCCATGCTCTCTCTACCAGTGGGTAGTTGGCGGGTGCTCTGGTGTGGTTTGCTTCTTCTTTCCTATCAAACAACTATCGTCCTTATCTTCCCTCCTTCTTTTTTGTGTTTATTATTCTCTTGTAACACCTCTAGTCTTCGGCACTTATATCACCTTATTGTGCTGCAAGCGCTGTAAAACGCTTACTAAAACTAAACCAGAGTTCTTTTTTCTCTCGGCAATATTCTTGTGTTTCTATACAGCTACATTGAACATAAATGGAATGATTAGAAATTCTACTGGGGGTAGTTGGAGGGCGCCACTGATAGGTCCTACTTCTATACTTTCCCTCCGCTGTTTCCGTCTGTCTTGTCTTACTTTTCCCCCCAGTACTAAATCAATGACCCTTGGTGTGTAGATGTGCTTCTCTTTACTCAAACAAACTAACCAAAAATTCTGCTGCTCTGGTTGTTTTGCTTGTTCTTTCCTATCAGACATCTATCGTCTTTTGTGTGTTTCTTACTCTCTTGTAACACCTCTAATCTCTGGCACTTATATGACCGTATTGTGTTGCAAATGCCGTAAAACACTTACTAATACAAACCAAAATTTTTGCTGGTAGCTCTCGTGGGCGTGTGGGTGGTTGGCGGGTGCTCTGGTGTGGTTTGCTTCTTCTTTCCTATCAAACATCTATGGTCCTTATCTCCCCTTCTTCTTTTTTTATGTTTGTTACTCTCTTGTAACACCTCTAATGTTCTGGCGCTCATATGACCTTATGCAGTTGCGAGCGCCGTAATACCTCTACTAAAACTAAACTATCTCGTGGGCGTTTCCTTTTCCCAGTGTTGCGTTGTCTGTCAGTCTTAGAGTGAGTAGTGACGTCACTCCTTGCGAGCAGTGTTCCGGTACGGAACAGGCTTCAGGGGCGACGGGCACGCCCCAAAGTTCCTTACAGCTGATTTTGTTAAGTTTACTAAGAGATCGTGGTTTGTGGGTGGTTTGTGTGTGCTCTCTGCTATGGTTTCCCCCTTCTTTCCCATCAACCGCCTTATCTCTCGTCCTCCATATCTTTGTTTTATACTCTTTAGTAACGCCTATAATCTTTGACACTAATCTCTCTCTCTTTCTCTGTCTGTCTCTGTCTTTCTGTCTGTCTCTCTCTCTCTCTCTCTCTCTCTCTCTCTCTCTCTC